GACGCGGAGCTGAGCGCCCAGCTGAGTCGGCGGCTGGATATTAACGAGGGCGCCGCACGACCCCGGCGCTGCAGGGTCTTCAACCCCTACACAGAGTTCCCAGAGTTCAGCCGCCGCCTCATCAAGGACCTGGAGAGCATGTTCAAACTGTGAGCTCCCGCTGCGCTCCCTTCGTCCCCGGGATCAGGTTGGGAGCGGGAGGCTTTCTGGCCCGAAGTCCCGGGCCCGGTTTGGGTGGGGAGGGGTCTCGGGATGCAGGTAGCATTTGGCCCAATGCAGCCAGATCTTGCGCGCTCGGGTCTATCTCGGCGGGTGGGAGGACGGGGCTGGACAGGGGGGACACCGGGAGCAGGAGCTCTCCGGGAAGGAGCCCAAAAGTTCTCGGCAACCGGCGGGCCCGAGTTCCAGGTCCCCCAACCCCGACCGCTAGTCCCGCCCCCTCCGCCCGCCGGTCCAGAGATTTGCTCCGAAAGCGACTTCTAGGAAAGGGAGCCGCCGCTGCGCCTCACCTGCCAGCTTTCACCGTATCCCCCAAGGGAAAAATTAGCCCATGTTGGCCTTTTATCTTTTAAAACAAAAGGGGAAAGTTAATCCTTGGCTGCAGCGCGGGGTTTGATGAACCAGCGGGAGCCTGAGAACGGGGAGTTTGGTAAACTCGTTGTAAGAGATTCAGGACTTTCTTGGAGCAAGCGCGGCCCGGGAGCCTCCTGGGGGGGTCATGGGAACCGAACTTAGCCGCTGGCACCAGTCCGGAGGGGGTCGTTCGGTCCTGCTCTGTGAGCCCCAGTGCGCGGGGAGCCGCCCACCTGGGGAGACACTGAGCCAGAGGCAGGCGATAGAGACCCACTAATCCACCTCGTCGGCCTGGAACCTCCTTGGATCTCAGTTTCCTCATCTGGAGAGTGGGAGCAGTAACGGCCCCTGCCTTTTAAGGCGAAAAGTATTTTGCACCCGGTAAGCTCTTACCCGAGCTATTAATATTTCCAGAATTGAGCCGAGACCGGAAAAATGCCTGGGGGAGCTGAGGCCGCTGGCCAGGTCATGCTTGGGCGTTTTTAAAAGCGCATGGAATGTGTTTGCCCTCCGCGTGGAGGTTCTATTTAAAGGCGCTGTGGCTGGCGCTGCGTCGCCTGAGCCTCCGCTGCCCCTGCACAGAGGTCTGCAGAGCCGGCACCTGGGAGCCTCCGCCTCCTCTGCCTCCCTGACACCCTGGTTTCTTTGTCTGGCTTCCAGGCACTGATCTGTGGCATTTTCTGGGTCTAGTTTGGACAATTCAGGAAGGCCGAGTGGGGCTAAAGAATGCGACCGGGGCGAAAATGGAAAAGTAATGGGTGAGGCAAGCCTTGTTGGAGCCCCTTTGATTTCTCTGGGGTAATGCCTTTCATGGGAAGACTGCCCTGGCCGGGCTGCTCCCAGGCCTTACCAGTTCCTCCCAATCCAGCTAGATTCAGGGCATCTTGGGGAGGGACCTTTATCTTCAAGTTGTCTTGTGGCCACTCAGGCTTCTTTTGTTTTTCCTGCAAAACAATCTTTGGAAAGATCAACTTGTAGTTGGCTATCTGAGAGTGATAAAAAGAGCCCATACGCTCGGAGGGTCTTGGGAGATGAAGCAAGGTGGCATCTGTGAGCAAAACGGTACTGGACCAGGATCAAGCAAAGGGGAGCCGGGCACAGTGGTTTATGGCTGTAATCTCAGAACTTTGGGAGGCCACGGCCGGCGGATCACCTGGGGTCAGGAGTTCGAGACCAGCCTGACCAGCATGGTGAAACCCCATCTCTACTAAAAATACAAGAATTAGCCAGAAGTGGTGGCGCGTGCCTGTAGTCCCAGCTACTCGGAGACTGAGGCAGGAGAATTGCTTGAACCCGGGAGGTGGAGGTTGCAGTGAGCGGAGATCACACTATTACACTCCAACCAGGGTGACAGAGGGAGATTCTGTCTCAAGGGGAAAAAAAAAAAAGCTAAGGGGAAGGCAGTGTGTGGCCTGGGATCCCAGCAGAGCTAACAGTTCAACCAATACTTGGTATTTCTTTCTAGGTTGAGTTTTCTGTCACTTGCAACCAAAATAGGCATAAACAAAAGGGGAATAATTTGGCTGAGGAAACCAAAAAGCCATCACTAGCTTCAGGTATGGCTGGATCTAGGAGCTTAGGTGCTGCCATCAGTGCTTAGTTTCTCTTTCTGTTAAGCCACCTTCCTCTCTGCGTTGTCCCCATTTTCAGATGGCTCATCCTTGGTGGTGGCGGTGTGGCCACAACAGCTTAAATTAATAACGTAAGAATGTTAAAAACACTAAAGAAAATATAACACACCAATTTGTTTTCTATTGGATTACCTTCCAGATTTTACTCATTGCAGCAGCAGTCTTGTGAGGCTATGAAAAGCGAGCACTTGGAGGCAGGCTTCCTGGGTTCAAACCCCAGCCCCACCACTTGCTACCTGGAAGGTTCCTTGGGCCTCTTATTTAAAAGCTCTGTGCCATCAGTTTTCCCTTCTGTCAAATGGGAAAGCACAGGACCTGCCATGTGGGGTTATTGTGGGGATTAAATTAATTCATGTACGTGATGCATTTAGCTCCATGTTTTAGCCTATAGTGAAGACCCAGTAGATTTTAGCCACTAATTTTTAGATTATCACCTATCTGTAAATTGGGTAAATCTGCACATTTGGCTGGGCGCGGTGGCTCACACCTGTAATCCCAGCGCTTTGGGAGGCTGAGGCGGGCAGATCACAAGGTCAGGAGTTTGAGACCAGCCTG